AGCAGTCTGTCAAGAGCTTCAGGAGTTTTAGTTTTGCTGAATCTCATCTTGAGATAAAAGTTTGGGGAGGATGGACAGGGCTCTTTCCTTACCTAACTCTCAGTTGAAATAGTTCGTTTGGCTTTTTAGCTGCTGCCTTTGCTATAGCTGTCTGGGTGTCAGACCTCTAAGTTTGAGGCCTTTGAAAGGAGAATGTAGGAAAATATTCCACCACTTCAGTCTGTGCTGTGTTGGCACCCCCGATGGGTATCGTAGGGTACAGATCACCAGCTTTAGCTTTGTGGTACCGATGACATGTTTCATAAGAGTGTTTTAGAATCTGACAGACTTCACTGCTGGGAAGCTTCCTAAAAACCAGATTTCTACTTTTTTTCCCCCCCTCAGTTGTATCCTATTAAAGACCCAAATTTCTCATTATAAATTTCTCATAATAAAGCATAACACAGAGTTAACATCAACTCTAGCTAAATTGCATTTCCCTTCACCCTTTTTCTTCTTAATTATCACATTCTCAGTACTATGAATTTGCATTCTGTCACCAAATTTAGAGCTCCACGTTTCAGAGGAGCGCTGTTGACAGCAGAAGCACATTTAGCAAATGCAGAAAGCAGCATGCGACTAGCATCATGTAGATTGGAAATTTCTTGTCCTAGTTTCTCATCCTGCAGCTAGTTCCATATGGGCAGCTTTAATGCATTTTGATTTAATGAATTGTAACAAATGCTGAATTCTGATTTCTGTAACCAGTGCGTCAGGAATCTAACGGAGTTCTTGCTGGTGTGAAGGCTGCTGCATCCGTGTGAGTGCTCGTAACGCTGTGCTGGAAAAGCTGTTCTTCATCTTCATGAAACCTGAGAGCCAGAGTTCAGCAGAGTTCGGTTTAAAGGACCTGGTGTGACCCCATGGGCCCCTGGAGTTTAACCTCACGTCTTCTCAAATTCTCCATCTGAAGTCACACTTGTAAATTAAATCTGTTCAGTGAACTAGCTTGGATAGAGCGTGGTTATAAATCCTTTGTCTATCTGGATCAAATATATACCCCTCTGTGAAGTGACATAATGAATGTTTACTTAGGAAGCAGATGTAGCCAGTTAACTTTATTCTGTCAAGTGAGCTAATTTGTTTTTAAAAATCAATCCAGCTTTTATGAGTGAAGTAAAACCCCCTTATTTTTGCAAATAATATTTTGACGTTTCAATTAATTTGCTTTGTTATTTTGTCTGCGATTTTTTTTAGCCCATATATTAAAAAATTAATCAAGTGGTTCTTTTATTGTGCATATACTGGTGGTGTCTTTACTGAATTTGTGATGTGCTGTCAGCTGATTTAGGAGAGCAGCAGGCTGGTAGTAATCAACTAACTGTACATGCATGTTGTGTAGTCAAAATACTGAAGTTGTCATAAGATCTGTTACTCCATCTAGATGTTGTGTTTTAAAGAACAGAATAGAGGAGGATTTTGTGTTCATATGAATTCCCTGGGGGAAGTCAGAAGGAGCTGGGTCTTTCAGTGATGAAAAAGGGAAAGGGAAGAAACCCATGGAAATTCCCTGTTCCTATGGTGGTGCTCTGCCTGAGGTATTCTGTCCAGTGTGGACAGACTGTTTCTCACCACAGCTCTCAAGGTTTAAGGTGAGATGCTTGAAGCTTATGCTTGCAATAGGAGAATGAGTCTTTTGAATAGCAGGAAAACTTCTGGGAATGAAGAGCTCAAGCACAACCCCTAGAAGCACCTCCGGTGCCAGCCTTTCCAGTGCCCACCAGAAGGAGTTTCTTCTGGGTATATGGATGAAATAGAAAGTTGCAGACAGAGTGAAGCTTCCTTATTCCCAGGTTTCAGACTGAGGTTTTGCTGTTCTCGGCGGGAACAGAGGAGTCAGATTTGCACCAGGGAATGCCAGTTCCCTCCTTGTGTCTTTCTGCAGCACTGAGCTAATGCTCAGTGGTGACAGTGTCAAAGGCTGTGACTCCAGCAGGACTCTGGCACTGCTTTGCGGCTCCCTGCACAGCTGAGGTGTTGCCGGAGGGAGGATGGTGCTTTCTGCTCTTCCCTGCCGTTGTCCAAGTGGGTGTAAACCCACTGTCCCATGGAAATCATTTCAGAGGCCAAGACTGCTGTGACTAGGTCTGGTATGTTGTGCTGAGCCCAAGAGAGTCTGGGTTTGTTTACTTCCAAAAAAGATTACCTTGGTATGAATACAAAGGGCAACGCAGGGAATGGCTGGCGGAGGGTGATCCCCACTGGAAATATATAGGTGGTAGAAGCTGAGTGTGATGTCTTGTCTCTGCTCTGTCATCTCATGTCTCCTCACACCAGTAAGGTAGTAATTGAGGGGATTTTCAGCTTGCTAATGAAGCAGGGTTATCTTTTACACCACTGGAAGTGAGAGGCTGCTTCAGCTGTTAAACAGAAATTTCACAATCCTCAATCAGTTGTAATGAAATTGTTCGATTTAACAATTTTCTCCTTTATCTGAGTGCAGTTACTGCTACGACTTTGTGTTATGTTTGACTTTGCAGCAATCTTTTCTCAGCAGTAAGAGGGGGTTTGAACACAGCATTTTCTTCTTCTTTCGGGGTTTGGAACTCCTCATGTTATAGCCCAATCCTCTCATATATTGCTAGCGGTGGCGTAGGAGAGGGTAGCAGATAGGAGCTGGCAGAGAGTTACTGCCGCGAGCTCCTGGCTACTAGCTGATAGAAGCCCTTGCCCTCACTTGGTGAGTGATTACCAGATAGTTTGGCTCCGGACTGGTGCCGCACTTAATTGTGACTGATTTATTGGGCTGAAATATGTCACTAATTTAATTCATCTATTTCATTAATCTGATTAAATTTCATCCAGCTATTAGAAGTGTATGAAAGAAAGGTACCTGACACACAAGGCAAGAGCACTAACCTCTGCATTAAACTATAAAACAGTCATGAGGACATCTAATGCTGATATTGAATTGCTCCATAGAAATTCGGTTTTCAAGCACAATACTAATTAGCTGCAAGCTTGATGAATGTCAAGAATTAATTAAAACATTTCAGTGGTCTGTGTGGGTTTAAAATATTGTCATGATTGCCCCAATATTTTCAGTCCTTACACTAATTGCTTTTTAGAGGGCATGAATGGAATTATCTTCTGGAGTGACTGTGGGTGTGAATGGTTCATTACATCATCGAAAATGGACTCCTTAACTCTGTATTTTCCCTTCTTTTTCCTAATATTTATCTACTGGGTTTTTTTCCACCTTTGTGTGTGCATTGCAAATAGAAAGGCAAGATCAGTGATTTTAGACCCAAACTTTATTTTGAGGCTACTTCTGGTTTTTCTGTCTTCACTGTACTCTGGAGGCCAGCACGCTGTTGTTGCCTACTTTCATTCTGGCAACGGGAAAACAGCTACAGCTCCATCAAATAATTTTTTGTTTTTAATTAAATAGGATGTCAGCCAAAACTCATTATTATTTTGTCCTGTTAATGAGAGGTCTGCAACAGTTTGAACAGCATGAAACAGCTGCGAGATAAAAAAGCATGTTGGGGAAATTATGAATTGAAAGGGAACTCATGATCAAAACTGGCTTTTGTTTGTTTCTCAAATATGACCTTAATGCAAAAATAGCTAAATTTTAGGTGCAGGAATTGCAGAAGCATAGTGCAGACTGTTCATATTCCTTGTCTCTGCCATTGTCCAGCGTGTCTTACTATAGACTGCAGATGTGAGACAAATAGATGAGGTGAGGTGATGTGATATGGAAAGAGCCTTTACAAGCCTTGGAGGGTTTGCAGGGAGGCTCTTCTGAGTGTTGAGCAATGCCAGAAACCACAGTCTCCCAGGCTACAGCTTGGTGGCATGCACTGCCACTTGCTTCATGTGCAATCACGTGAGAGTCCTTGGCGCCTGTTCCTGGGGACCGCAGAGCAAGAAGGATGGGGACACTGCACCATGTGTCTGCAAGGTATAGCTGGTACCTGGGAGGCTGCCAAGGTGGGGAGAGCTGAAAGGGACTTTTAAAGTGCCATGTTACTGACTTGTCTGCATAGATGTGATGAAGCTACCATGCCCGAGTGAGCTCAGTGGTGTTTTCCACAGCAGGCTGGTTCAGTGGGTGTGAATGATCCGTTACGTCCTCCTCAGTGGTTCAGATTCAGGACCTTTCGGAGCATTAGGCTAGTGTTTACCCCAAGACTTGCTTACAGAAATAAGGTTGTGCTTTGATTTTTTTTTTTTTGTGAGGAGGTTAGATGATGGTAATTGTGTGATAACAGCGTTAAGTATGATGGCTAAGAAGTCAAGAAAATGCTTGTTCGTTATTCCTTCTCTCAAAGTTTTAATAATTAATTATGCAATAACCTTCCCCAGTGAGAAATGTTTTCAGTATCGCAGTTCTTAAAATAAACTATTTTTGGCTAGCAGTCTCCATGCTGATTGCCTGGAGGCATAACACAAATATATCCTGATGAAAACAGCTATTTGGATTGACAGTGTTGTAAGAAGCAAAATTCCAGGTTACTTGATTCTGTCTTTCCCATCCCCAGTTTTCCTGCCAAAGGGTGTAACGTTTCACTTTAGCTGATGAAACAAGTGGCAATAAATGTGTGTCTATACACATGTAAGTCACTTTTTTTATGAAGATATGATCTGTTTAATGCCTAGAGAAGATGAATGTGCTCAATTTATACAACTGCTTTCATGTATGGATATGATGTCATTGGACAGGCATGATGTAGAAACTTAAAGCAGCCACATACTGAAGAAATCAGACCTGAGGGTGTGTTTCTGACAGTGACAGTCTAGTAGTTCATGGTTAATCTGTGTCATTGCTGTATCTCCAAAAGGACAAAAGTGCCCAGATTTTGTGCCTGTTGAAAATATTGAGCCCACTGAAATCAATTGGAAATCAGGCAGATGTTAAAGATAGGCAAGTGGTTTGTATGAAGCAAAATAAACGTAGAAGGCAATCCATAAAATGCCTCTCTCAAGGGCACACCTGACTCTTTCTCTCTCCTCTGCTTTTCCACAGTGCCGGTCCTAAAGGGGATAACATTTATGAATGGAGATCTACTATACTTGGACCTCCAGGTTCTGTATATGAAGGAGGCGTTTTTTTCCTGGATATCACATTTTCATCTGACTATCCATTCAAGCCACCAAAGGTAAGGGTAAGGTTTTTATTGAACTTCTCATTTTTTCACAAGAAGAATGTGTAAATTCCAGTGAGTGAGTGGTCATTGCTTTCTGAATATTAAATTTGTCTCTTCAAAACTACAAAATCCAAAATCTTGGCTTTCAGTTTCAGAAAAATCCTGTGTCTAATTTATTTCCCAATTACCAATATCAATATTGATTTCCAAGCTTTACAAGTGATAAGAGGTGGTAATTCTGATCAAGAGTTAAGGTTCAAGAAATTTTAATTTTAAATAGAAGATAGGACAAGACCTTCTTATGCTTCCTCCTTCTCATTCCAGCTACTAAAATATATTTATACTAAACTTTTTTCTGAACCAGATTCTATATTATGTTTTCATGTAATTTTTAGCAAAATAACAGCTAAAATAAGTATAGATAGACAACTAGAGTGTTATATTGTGACTTGAAAATGGATAAGTTACTGTGATGATTTCTGTTGTTGTAAAATGTCAATCTATTTACTACTGGTAAGATCAGCAACCTTGTTTGATAATACTTTTAAGCAAAAGGTCTTTTTATTAAATGAAACTAAACTTAAATTAAAATTTAATTTCCTTGCTCAGAAATAGTATGGACACTTTAGAAATTATAATGTACTAACTGATATCAAAGAGGTTAAAGGTTGTTCCCTTCTCTCCTCCCTTAATGCCAAACTACAGCTCTTGACCAAGTCACCAGAAATCACACTGCTGAGGTTTGCAAAGACTAAACACATTCTACCACACAGCATTTCTACAACTGAGGGCTCTTGTGGCTATTTCACACTTCTCTGAACCCCACAGAATCTAATATTCTCTGAGATAAGATTGTTACGATGAAGAGATGCCGAATTTAAGAAAAATTCCTCATGAAAATCTTGTAGATTATTTTTTTAGAGCATGATCATTTTTAATTTTTCAGTAGTTTCAGAAGACATCTTGGATTATTCACCCCTGCATCAGTATGAATAAGAAAATTGTCCTCATCTTCATGTGGTTTATGTAATTAAAGCACTTAAATATTTCTAACTTCTTGTTTGTGCAGAATAATGCTTACATGGTCTACCAATATTAGTCTGAAAAAATTTAAGAACAGGGGTGGTGTTAGTTAGTGTGATGGCATTGTTTTGGCTGTATATTATGTCCTGCCTAATGAAAGGTAAGGCAAAGATTTCATTGCTAATTTGGACAAGAATAATATAATGCTTCGATTTAAATATTAATTTTCATGGTGTATATTTCGGCTTTTGAAAGAAAGGAAAATATCAACTCATATTGCACTTGCAGCCAAATTCTGTCTACTTCCTCACCCTCAGAAACCACAGTAAAGTTATATTTGTTATTAGATCATTCTTGAGATGCAATATTCATTAGCGTACCGTACTACAAAGTAGGTGTGATTTCTGTGGGTACCAGGCAGGGGGCCTGTGTGAAAGCAGATTATGCACTGAAGATCTCCGTGGTAGTCTTCTTAAAGGTAGCCATGGCTACAGTGAAAACTCTCCTGTTAAACGATTGTGTTTTAGCAAACGAGCAGAGAGGAGCAAGCTCCACAGCAGCTCTGCAGGAGTGGGGGCGCCGCGGGTGCTGCTGCTGCTGCCCAGAGGCGAGGGGCAGCGTCCCTGGGCAGCGCTGAGTGACTCCTCCTGTCTCTTACACTGTGATTCCAGGTTACTTTCCGTACCAGAATTTACCACTGCAACATCAACAGTCAGGGAGTCATCTGTCTCGATATCCTGAAAGACAACTGGAGCCCTGCTTTGACTATTTCAAAGGTTCTGCTGTCCATCTGTTCTCTTCTGACAGACTGCAACCCAGGTAAGGAGCTGATAGGGTACTGAGCATCCACTTTTTGTTGAGTTGGTTGCAATGGAATATCATTTATATATTTGATTGTAGGCAGATTAAATTAAAATACCTATTTTTAAAATTGAGGATGAGACATTCTTGCTTGGATGTTTTCTCCCATTTAATGGCACTTTTCACTCCTATCGCACAACAGAAAGTAACTAGCATTAAGCCCTTTTTTTCCCAAGGTATAGTGCAGAAAATACACTGATGTCATTGAAGGTCTGTATTGCAGAAGCTCCAGCAAGTGAGTGGTTGATCCAAGAAAGCAACACAGGTCACTTGAGTTATAAATCCTGCGGGTCAGAAGGGGCTGCAGGAGCTCCCTTCTCTTCAGACAGCAATTGAAATGTTTAATCTTGCAAATGTGAGGGGAATTATGTTCAGAGAGATTTTTCCCTTTTTCAAAAGGAAACCTGCCTGGGACAAGACTCATTAACACTCAGGTAGCCACAGCAGACCCTGCTGTTTTCTTTTACTCTTTGTTGTGCCTTGGGTGCTTTCTCTTGGAAATGTCTTGTGTGATCAGAGCCCCACTATACCTCACACCATTTTTTGGCCTAATAAAGACTATATTTTCAAGTAGACTCTGTATTTTAAATCATATGTTTGATTTATTGTTTTTGTTGTTTGTTTGTTTAATTGTGGAATATTTTCTAATGCATCTTCTCCTGATTTTTGCAGCTGATCCTCTGGTTGGAAGCATAGCCACTCAGTATCTGACCAACAGAGCAGAACATGACAGGATAGCCAGACAGTGGACCAAGAGATATGCAACATAAATGAAAAACTACTTGTGCAGTGTGAAGGTGCAGAAGGCAACTTTGCAGTGTGCAACAAATCTTTATAGCCTTTACAATACGGACTTCTGTGTATATGTTATACTGATTCTACTCTGCTTTTATCCTTTTGAAGACTGGGATACTGCCCCCAAAAAGGTAAATGCTATCAAGAGTAGAAATTTGTAGCTGTAGATTAGTTATGTTTAAAATGCCTACTTGCAAGTCTTGCTTCTTTGGGATATCAAAATGTATTTTGTGATGTACTAAGGATACTGTTCCTGAAGTCAACCAAATATTATAGTGCATTTTAGCCTAATTCATTATCTGTATGAAGTTATTAAAGGTAGCTGTAGATTACTAGGAATTATGTCATTTGTATTAAACCCAGATCTATTTCCAATATGTGGTACATGCTGTTGTGAAAACTGTTTTAACTTTTACCTTTGTCAGTTTGTAATGAAAGGATTTCCTTTTTCCCTTTGTAGCTCAGAGAGCACCCAGTGTATCATCTCAAACACAATAAACATGTTCCCCAAGGAGTAGTTTCTTTGTTTTCCTATTTTAAATTAATATTCAAATAAATTTAATTATAGTGACAAGGCAGGGCCAATGTATCACAGATCCCTGTGGATAGTCTTTAAATTAATATACGTAAGCAAAGGCTTGCTGTTAAATGTTTAATGCACACCTGTGGATTCTTTACATTTTCCCTGTTTTGTTTTTTACAGAACAAATGTAATTTCTACAATTTCCTTAAACTTAATACTCTTTGGCTCTTTCTCAAGTTGAAATGAGAGCATTGCATATGCTTACTCCAGGAGCTAATGTAGCTGGTTGCTTCAGGGCCAGTCCTGCTCCCGGGACAGACTGCCTGCGTCTTGCTGCACAGGTTTTTTGCAGGACAAGGGCCAAGTTAGAGGTAGTCTGGTGCTTTTGTTTCCAAGTAAAGCAAGTTGGACTTGCTGACCTAGAGAAATACAGTTACCCATTGAAAATGGTCTTCCAAAGCTGATTGAACGCTATATTGTCTGTCCAGAAAAGAAAGGAGTAGAATAAATTTAATCAGATTTTTATGACATAAAAACAGTTGTGGGGGAAGTGAACCTTTGTTAGTGAAAATGAAGTCTGTAAAATTTTAGACCATGTTTCACCCCTTGACTTTCTGACTTGGAAATTTTGTAACATCTGTAAGTAACAAAGATATACAGCTTTATAGTACATATGGTTTAAAAAGTAGAGTCACTAATAGTTTTATAATTTAAGCTTTTATAGTTTGCCAGTCACAATATTGATTATAAAAAAATAAGTCTTGATCCCTTTAAATGATTTTTTAAATTACATTTAATTTTAAACTTTACAGTCTCCCTTACTAGCTGCTGGTTTTGGAGATAATGTAGCACTTCCATCAATAAGATGCTCTGCTCATTTAATATATGAAAACTGAATGTTAAGTTTAAATATTAAAGCAATAGAAAAAATGTTAAAGATTTAGAACTAAACTTAACCATCGCCATATGGGTCCCTGGTTTTTGTATCACATGACCTTTGACCATGCGTTGTCCACCCTACTTTAAATATTTCTACAGATTCCTGAAGGTGGCTTGAAGAACTGTGTATCCCAAATATCTCAACCTAGAAGCCAGTCTCTCTTGGTAGCTACAAGATAGCTTTAGAGTTCAGGTTATAAAGTGCAAAAGGGAATGAGAAAGAGGGGATCTGGCAGGTGAATATGCCTAAGTCAGGTAACGGACTAATGCCAGGAGATGAAGTGCTGGAAATCACTGCTGAAGGTGACCAGAGTTTCTCACTGTGTCGTTGGACGTGTGAGAACTAGCACAGATTGGCAAAGAAACAAGGTGTTATCACACCCGGGCCGGACATCTGAAGTCTGCTCACTGCTGACCACGAGCACGCTCGTGGGTGACACGGTGCTCGTACACCACTCCAGTGACTTTCCAGTGAAGAGCAAACTATGTATTTCACACATTAGCTATGTTGCCTACAGAATTTACAGGTATTTATATCGTAAAATATGATGGTATAAAAATACAGGTTTTAATCCTAATGTTAATGTATTTTGGGTTTGTATTGTACCTACAACTTCAGATACCTAGGTGTACAAGTGGGATGCCTTGTTAGTGTTGCCCCATCTTGCCTTCCTTGCAATTGGATCCTTTACACTGAATTCCCACCTTTTTTTTTTTTTTTTTTTTTTTGTTGTTGTTTTGTCATGGTTCTGTTATTTTTTAATGTAGTTTTTTTTTGTGTGTAAATTTTATATTTACTGAAGTAAAGGTTGGTTTTGTGTAAACATTTAAACTTTAAAAAAGAAAAGCTAATTTTGTTTCTCAAGTTCTCTCTGCTAAACCATGCAGTAGAAAGAAATTTGTATTGTTAAATAAATCAATTAGTTGTTAAATGAGAATGTGTGTCTGTTTTCATGGGGAGGGGAGAAACCCCTGCTGGAAATAGATCCAAAATACCAGTTGCAAAGAGCATCTGGTGTTTTCAAAGTATCTCCTTCCTGGCTGCGCTGGGGTGAATAGCTCACACTGCCGAAGCAGAGCATGGATCCTGTTTTACAGTTCTAATTTTTAGTTCAGTCTTCTTATTGCCAGTCACTGGGCTCTGTGTTTGGCAAAAAGTGAACTGACATGACACTTTTGTGAAAAGGCCAGCTAAAGATATCATACATGCCCTCTTCCTCTCAGTTTTGGATGGGCTTTTCTTGTTCTGCTGCCATTGGGATTTCAGTGGGAAACACATGCAGCTGCCTGGGAAGCTGCCCCAGCTGGGTTCCATGATCTGCCAGTACAAGGTGTGCACATGTGGGAGCTGGCTGTCCCAGCCTTTGAGCTGTGACACTGCTGAGGAGCAGAGAGGGCCAAAACAAACGGGCAAACACGGTCACATGGCTCTGCTTTTCAACTGAGGTGGTGGCTACATTCAGAGGAAATACTTCATCGTATCAAATGAGAAGGGATGGGTGAATATAAATGTTTTAAATATAGATACAGTAAATACAATGGAAAGGCAAATATACCTCAGCCTTGTAATTTCTGTACTAACATGTTCTTGATGAACTGCTTCTTGTTCTGTGATGTTTTAGCAACGTGTGGGACACCTGTGGAGACAATCTTGCTTACTGATCAGTGTTGACTAGTGATCAGTCAAAATCTATAGCCAGGACAGGAAGGGAGTCACCTGCATCTAGAAAGTAAGACTGCAGGGTAGCCTGAGCCATGGGCCAGGCTTGCACAGCCTTGTAAGAAAAGCGAGAACTGAACCAGGTCTGGTTCATGTTCTGCTCCCTCTTGGGAAAAGAGAAGACTGCCATGCTTTGTTGCACACCAGTTCCTGCTCTGTACCAGCTTGTTTGTGTTCATGGGTATTGCAGAAAAAAAGACCAAGCTTCTCGCTTTCTTCACCTTCATGTGTGGGAACCAGATTTGTGTCCTCACAGCGGCATCCCCATTGCCTGCACCATGGTGGGAGGGCTGCAGGGCTCAGGCCAAGGGGCTTCTCCCCGGCCGGGCGCAGCTCCGAGCCAAAAGGCAGCACCAGCTGCCCCTTTGCTGCTGCTGCCACGGCTTCCCCACAGCCCTGCCCAGGTCACCACAGCGCTGTAGGGGAGGAAGCTAGAGTCCACAGTGGTCTTCTGCTCCTGGGGCTTCATCTGCGTGGGCACAGGCGGCAAGGACTCCTGACTCCAGGCTGAAGAGTGAATTTTGTCTTTCCTGCTGGATGTCTGCGCAAAAGAAGGAAGGCTTGTGCGGGCATCCTGAACTAAAACAGCTTCAAAGGATGGTGATGGTAGCGTGACTAAAATGAGATTTGATTCAGCCATAAACCAGCACTGTATTTCTGTGGCCCGTGCTACAGCCCGGGAAGCATGTGTTTGAGAACTCGTCAATGCTTCGTGTGCAGCATCCCTTCAGCCTCTGCGTGGGCACCGCTTGGACCGGCACTGCACAGGCACTGCTGCTCTCTGTCCTCCACCAGCCACCCCAGCTGAAAGGGCCTGCAGAGGATCCTGAGACAGCAGAAGAGATCAGGTGATAAAGCGGGTGCTTTAAAGGGAGAAGAGAGACAATGCACGGCTGCCTCTACTGCTGCCTGACCTCCCTGACGTTAGCGGTCATCAGACACATTCAAACGTAGCTTAGGTGCAAGATCAGGTAATGCACTTGGAAGATAATTGGTGGAACGTTTGCAGCACATAAGGGCTTTTGCTTTTTTATCTTTATAGAGGAAACCGGCTTTGGCTCGTCTTCCCCCACCTCTCTGCATGCACGTCTCTCTGAACTGCAGTAATGGCTGCTTCTGTTGCTGCATAGAACAGAAAACATCCAAGATGCTACCAACAATTTGAGAAGTCTTCAAAAATAAAAATTGGCAGGAATAGACAGAATAATAGGCATAGTATAGAAAATACATATATACCCTCATGGTGACTGTGTCTGAGCGCAAGCTCTGCATTCATAGGGATGTAAGATGTGGTAGAACCATGTGCATGGGTAACAAATATAGTTGTCTCTCTTCTGTTGTTGTTGCTACTCCTCTCCTGCAGGAAAGGCGTGGGCAGCCCTTTCTGTTTATTTAGTGTTTCCAAGTATTGGAAAGGGTTTTGTAACTTTGTTGTCCAAGATAAACATCTCTTTGAACCATCCTAAATTCTTACTCTCCACAACATCCTTTGACAGTGAAAGCTACAGTTTGATTAAGGACTGTGTGGAAAAGTACTTTGTTATGTGATGATTTCATGTAACCTGCTATATGAACACTTCGTTCTAGGTCTTCTAGTTTCGTCCTGTGAGGAATAATGAGTAGTTGCATCTCTTCTTCTTGATCCCATTTATGATTTTATGTACTATTATTATTATCAGCCCCTAGTAACCTCTTTTTTTCAGGCTGGAAAGTCCTAATTTATTTATTCTCACCATGTATGGAAGGTGCTGTGATTATCCTGTTCACCCTTGTCTATGTCTTGTAATTCTGCTCTGTCTAATTTACAGGAATGAGAGCTGTGTGCCGTATGCAAAAGGTGAACTCACAATTTGTCTGGAATAGTGTTTCCTGATTTGATCTGCTTGTCTAGTAGTCGGTAATACTCTGCCTTTTTGACCATTGCTTATTGCTTAGCTAACATCTTCGTTAAGCTGTGTTCAGAGGTGCTGGAATCTCTTTTCTGAGCAATAGCGAATTTAACCTTTTATATAGATCTAACAAACTTGTCTTAACCAGTGTGTGCCACTTTGTATTTATCATCACGAAATTCATCTGTGATCTTCTCTCCCAGTTCTCAGCACCATGAAATCCTTTATGACTCTTGGCAGTCAGTTTTAGTTTAGTCTCCCTTGAATATTGACTCTGTGTGTGTGTGCTCCGTATACCAGGGGTGGGAGGTAACAGCAAAAGTAATAGCCAAGTGCACTGGACAGGTCTGTCTGCCAAGAAGTGATGGGTCCCCGAGGACAAATTATCATCTGGCTTCTGAATGGCACAAATGAAAGCAGCTGCCAACTGTTTCATCAGT